AGATGTGATGAAGAAAGTTTTTTCATAGTCTCTTGGAAACATTAAGATTTGGTGAAGCCTGATAAGGCATACAAGAAGCTCATAATCAAGAATTTAACTATCGAGCCCACCATTAACACAATTTTGGGAGGAGGATATCCATCTTTTTGGACATGTTGGGTTGAGGTCACTGAAATCAATGCACATCATCTACTTGATGTTCGTGAATCATTATATATCGACATTGAGTAAATTCCTAATTTCTTGCTTTATGGGTTTAATGAGTATCACAACCATCTACCTTATTTTTTACTTGATTAGTCTACTTCTTGCTTTACATTTAGTCTATGGAAAGAGACTTCTACATCTAAACCCAAAATCTCCATGGTCATCCCTGCAAAAGCATCTAGATCATCCCTAAGGGCCCATACAAGCTTTCCTTGATATACTGGGCTGAATGACATGCTTATCCTCAGGGTTCTCTCATATTACCCCTTTATTACGTGAACTTCCTCTATTTATTCAACAATCTCCAATATTGATCCTCGCTCACTCCAGTTGTAGTACATCTTTTGGGGGGTTGACACCTTCATGACAACCTTTAGATAACACGCATGTGATTGGACGAGATTACCCCATCAATGTAATGTCTCAGTAGCTTGATAGAAACTTAATCAACATGTGCTACATCAATATGACTACTTTGAATGTATTAGGAGAGGTTTCCTGCAGAGTATTTAGTAAGTGGTCGGTGCATCCATGATAATAAAATTAGCCATACCAATGTATTAGTGGTCACCCTCTCCCTAGGTGATTTGTAGGGCAATTACACCTTCAGTGTTCCTATGCTAGCTGAGAATCCTTAGAGGGAACTCAAAGTGAAAGTGAGATGGGAGGCAAGCAAATCCATTTTTTATTGAAAACATATTTAAAAAATTATATTAGTAAAATTATCAATTCCAATTATAATTATTTCAATTTAGCAGTTGACAACCAGAGATATGATGATTATAGCTTCATTGAAAGCATTTCCACTCGTAGACCTATCAACTTTACAAAAATGACATGAGAGATGTCGATCACTTGCCCTCATGAGGTAGTAAAAACTCAACTCGTTAATTTAAATATATCAGGTAAATACTCTATTGAATAAATGACTGATCGAGAAGGCTTTATATAGAGAAGAAGATATTTAATTGAAAATAGGTATGAATTATATATATATATATATATATATATATATATATATATATATAATTTAGAAAAAGTTGTATCGTGTGTTGCTTTCAATACTATTACTTCAGCCCAAATGATGATATTGATGACTCAATCAATTCAAGACTCGAGATCTCATTTGGGAAGCAATAATAGCATCATCTTTATGAATAAGAATTTTAAATTTTTTCAGCATATATGACCATTACCTTTAAGAGAAATAAAGTTCCTATCGAAGTGAAGAATTGGCTATTGCATATCGAGAAAATCTTAGATGGTATGTTTTTCCTATAAGAGACAAAGGTTTCATTAGCCATATTTGTACTAAATGGACAGGCTGAAAGATGGTGGAGGGGACAAATTTAGGATTAGCTAGGAGGAATGCCCACTATTTAAATTAAATGAGAAGAATTTATGCATATTTGTAGAGACTAGTTTGTGCCATTTATTTGTAAGGACGAAAGCAAAGGATAAATTTATGGGGTTAGTTTAAGGAGATAGATCATTGATGTATTATGAGGTTGAATTTATTTTTTTGTCAAGATATGGACCTCAATTAGTTCAACCATAAGTTTTTATTAGTTTTAAGTGATATAATTAGATAATTTATTATCCTTTAAACATTGATGACTATTCAGTTTTGAGAGAAAGGACTAGGAGAGTTGAAATGGATACTCACAAAAGGCTTGAATTCGAGAAGAAGAAATAGATAGTGTGAAGGTTCACAAGATTCATAGTTAAAACCATTATCTAATCAGTCAGAAAAGTCTAATAGAATAAAGAAAATTTGAGAAGCATTGGCTGTCAGTTTAGTATGAATGACTGCATTAAATGTGGGAAACATCACATGAGTGAATACCTTTCTAGAACTAATACTTGCTATTGGTGTCATTAACCCGGACATATAACTAAGAATTATCCTCCACTTGGATAAAGACCCTAGGGAGAAATAAAAGCTACTTTTGTACCTTCTTAGTAGAACTTTGGCAGATAGAGGGTAATTAAGTTAGCTACATCAACCCCAAGTCAAGATCAAAGCCAACAGAATACCTAGCCTATAGTATATGCATTATTAAAGAAAGTTGCTAGGGAGTCACCTGAAGTAATAATAAGTATATCTTTTTTTTATATATAAAATTTAATTTACTTATTTGGGATAATTAAGTGCCAAATAAATTGCATAATAGTTAATAATAATGTTCAAACTGTCCGATTTAAAATCCTTATAGACACAATAATAATTCAAAAAAAAAAAAAAAAAATTGTATGAATTTTTTTTCGACACTATACTTTCACATTCTTTCATCTCAAAAGAATTTGTTAAATCAGTTGGATTAAATATTTTAAAGTTGCCTAAAACTTTAGATGTTATAATGCCAATTGGCTAAGTATGAATCTTAATAGTAAATGTTAGATAAATTTCAACATAATTGAATGAAAATTTGAGGCAAATTTAAATGTGTTACCCTTGCATGAATTTGATATAATCTTAGTAATGGATTGACTATCTAGCTATTTTATCGCTATAGATTGCAGTAAGAAGATGGTGAAATTCAAATTACCCTGAGAGAAATAACATAAAATTTATATAGATAGATGACTTTCATCAATGGTAATAATCTTGGTTAGTCTCTGTGGAATTTGACTGTGTCAATAAGTCAGATTTTACTATTGCCTAAGACCTTAAGTCAATTTCTTGTGCTCACTGAGGGCCCCCCCTGCTTGATTTGGGTGTTTTACACCCAATTTTTTTTCTCCATATAACGCCTTGGTGGTGTGTACAAGAGCATCCCAATATTATGCACCCGGGCGCCTGAACGCTATGTTCTTGAGCACCCCAGAGTTGTAAAGTTTGATGGGAGGGATGATAGATAGCAGAACGCCATAGCGCTATATTCTCAGCACAACAGCACTGTCAGATGGACCAAATGGCAGAGGTTGAGGACCATATTGCTCCAAACTAGCGTTGCAGTGCTTCGAGGTGGACTGAGCAGTTTTCTTTCTCATTTTTTAAAGGGTGGCGCCCCTTAGTGGTATATAGAGGATTTTCTCTTTTGTTTAGTGTGTGTGAGAATGATGTTAGAGTGAAGAGAATAGAGAGAGAGAGAGAGAGAGAGAGAGAGAGAGAGAGAGATGTACTTATTTCTTCCAATTTTCATAGTGTTTTTTTTTTGTGTGGTGTGGCTCTATAATTTTTTCTTCTAATTTTAAGATTTTTCACATTAAATCATGGTGTACTTTACTTTTCACTGCTTTTACTTTCTTGTTTATTTTATTGTGTGGTTTACTTCTTTCCCCAACAACTGGTATCAGAGCAAGATTTTTCAGTTTGAGTGGGAGTAATGGCTAACGAAGCAAGGTAGAAGATTGAGAAGTTTAATAGTTTGAACTTCATATTCTAAAGGATGTAAATTGAAGATTTACTATATTAGAAGTTGTATTTACCATTGAAAGGAATCACCAAGAAGCCAGATTCTATGACTATGGAGGAGTGGGAGGTTATTGACCTAACTGTACTTAGTTTGAAATGATTTTTCAATTTCCTCTTTTATTGTATTCAATATTATAAATGAAAAGACTACAGTTGATCTCATAATTGTATTGACTAACATGTAGAAGAAGCCATCTACCTTAAATAAAGTATTCTTGATGGAAAAAAATATTCAATATGAAGATGTTGGATAACACTCTAATGACAGAGAACCTGAATAATCTGAACACTATGATGAGTCAGTTGTGTTTAGCTAGCATTAAGTTTGATGATGAGGTGAGAGTGTTGCTGCTGTTATCTTCATTGCTAGAAAGATGAGACGGGCTTGTTACTATTGTGAGTCAAATTGTGGGGTTAGTACTTAATGAAGAGGTTCATATGAAGGAAAATAGTGAATCTTCAAATTCTACTTTGAATATTGAAGTAAGAGAAACATGTTTAAAGATAAATCCTAGTACAGTGAGATCTAAATTAAGGAGAGGAAAGTTTACTTCTGGTAAAGGGAAAGTTATGTGCTGGAGCTATGTAAAGAAGAGTCCCTTCAAAAAGGGTTATACAGTTCCAAGGAAAGATAGTGTTGAAGGTCAAGACAAAGATCTTTCTATAAACATATATGTAGAAGAGTGTCAGTCAAATTCTCTGATTTTATCTCTGGATAATTATGAATCTTGGGTTATAAATTTAGGTGCAAGTCTTAACAAGGATACATTCAAGAACTATACTCAAGATGTTTTGGATAAAATATATCTGGTAGACAGTAGGCCCTGCAGTTTTATTGGACAGGGAGATGTTGATATTAGAATGACCAATTGGTCAATTTCAAGACTGAGAATGTTAGGCATGCTCCTTGTTTGAAGAGGAATTTAGTTTCCGTGAGTGAACTAGCAAACTTAAACCTTTGCAAGAGATTCATAAAAGGCTAAAAAAGGGGGTTATGGTTATAACTCGCTACAATTTTGAAGATACCATGTATGTTATCAATAAAATATTAGATTCTATTAGAGTAGCTAATTTAGATATTGATGGAGGTCATTGACATCGAATGATTGGTCCTATGAATAAGAAAGATATGCATTCACTGCTTACTAGAGAAAAGCTTCATGGTAACTTTATGGCTCTAGTGTCGACGACTAGCATCAGGAGGCCGATCTTCAGCATATCCAAGAAGACTTTTTTATTTGATCTATTTGGAATTTTGAATGAATCACATTTCCTACTTGCAAGGCCTTAGGTGAGTGAATTAAAGAAACATCACATCAACTTCACTATATAATAATATCAAACAAGAACATGAGGAATATGATCTTTGCAAGGTTTCAACCATTAATTAGATTTCCATCATCATCGTCAATTAAGTGAATAAAAATGAAGAGCACAACTTTTTGAATAAAAATGAAAGCATATTAATTCTATAAAGCAGTATCAAACAACAAAACTAGAAAATTATCTCAACTGAAGAACAAAACTAGAAACTAATCTCAATTGCTTTTCAAAACTCATTAGCTCCTCAGCATCAAAACCAGCTGAGCATATTTGTTTGTAGAGAAAAGCAGCAATTCAGTACATCATATTAAGGCTAATCACATTACTACTCAGACCTTCGTAGTTTGGCGTTGAGAGGCATTTCTTTATAGCAATTGACCTTCTCAGCTGCCCTGCGTAAGGGTCTTCCCAGAGATGTTCTCTTTAAGCTCGACGTAAGTTGGACTTCTTCTTCCTCAACTTTCACTGGCTTGGTTGTTGGAGCAGACGGCTTCAGCTGAAGGGAACTTCCTCCCTTGTTGTCTCCTGAGCACATTGGAAACTTTGTATCCTCAATCTCGAATAAGTCCTCAGTTGGTAGGCATGATTCAGCTTTCAAAATTATCGATTTTCTCCTTAGAGCTGGTTTCCTGCTTGAATTTGACTCTCGAATTAGTAACAGTTCGGTTTGTTTGGCCACCATTAATTGCATTACCATAGAGTGATCAATTAGGGCATTTCCAATGGAACGGCAAACAACTGTTTTCCGTTCTTCTGTTGCTCTAACCGATCGACAATTTTGCTGCTACTTCATCGCGGGTGAACAGTGCGACGCTAATATTGACGTCGCACTGTTCACCCGCTAAATTTATGTGTCAACGGGATTTACCCGCGAAATGGAAAAAGACGGTTACAAGATGTCGAAGCCCGCGAAATAGAGTTCGATTGGAACAGAATTACCGTATTTTGGAGTTTTGCTGTATTTTGCAGTGGAAAATGGGGTTTTCGGTTGGAGATGCCCTTAAAGGCAAATTACCTTGGGTTTTCCTCCTCGGTGGTTGTTTGATTCGTTATAGGCATGGGTGCAAGTGCTGCGAGTAGAGATGAAATTTTGTTTTCAACAATGAATGAGAGTTTATTCAATTGTACAAGGGAAAAAAGAGAATGGAGGTAGCTTAAGCTAACATTGGCTTCGCTGAGGGCGCTTCCTGTTGGGAAGACAAGTCCTCTTATGTGAAGCTAATTGAGATGTTTCTACGGCAATCTCAGCAGGCTTAACGCGCCCTTCCTGCATTCAGAAAATGGAAACAACAAAGTTTCACTGAGAAAAAGGCTATGAGCAACAAGCACTTTCACCATCAAACAAGAACGGTTTTCTCATACCAGATTGGTACTATTATGAATTCGCATGTTTTGCTTGTTCAATTTCTTCTGTTCCTGAAAGGAATATAGAAAGGCAGCAATTGTGGTAAGAACGATAAAATTTATTCATTGCGAAGCAACTAGATTATGACACAATCATACCTCCAAATCCTGGGTTTTTACTTTTAGAGCAGTTGATGTGCAACCAAGTTCGTGCTGTGCTGCTTTTAGCTACACCACAACCAAAAATACCATATTATAAGGTTTCAAATACACCTCAAGTTAGGAGGAGATGTTGTGCTTCGTAAATGAGGAGCAAGTAAAAAATTCAGAGAGAGAATTGATTTCAAGGGCTCATTTGCTTATGTAATTTAAACTACATATATAATTTCAAAGTCCCTAAAAAATGATGAATTCACAATCACAATCAAAATAAAAAATAATAGGGTGGTGCATTTTCGGTTACTATCTTGAATCCTAAAAATGTGTTGATCAAGCTAGCTAATGACCTAAATTACTGTAGGATTTTCTCTCACCGATCATATTTCATCGCTAACTGTTTCATGATGTTCATTAGCTAGCTAGCTAATGGTCTCCCCTCATTGACGTTAATGTTGAGTCGCCTATTGTGCCCGTGTGGGTCTCTTTTCCCAGTTTACGTTCTCACCTTTTTTCACCTCGCATTCTTCATGGTTTGGGCTTTATATTTGGTAGGGCCATTGCGTGTTGACAATGCCACTTCGAACGGCACTCGGACGACTGTTACTCAAATTCTTGTGGAACTAGATGTCACGAAACGTTATACTTCTTAGGTGTGGCTTGGCTCTGAATCTATGGGATACATCCAAAATATTGAAATGGAGGTTTTCCCATTGTATTGCTCTCATTGTAAAACGCTTGGTCATTCTAAAGAGGTTTGCCCTATTTTATTTCCTAAGATGGATGTGCGCATCCCTCTGTTCCTGAGGTGGCCGTCGTGGAGGCGGCTGATAATCCTGTTATTGGTTTGGTTGAGGTGGTGCTTAATGAGGGGGTACCTATTAATGATATTACTCTTGACAATGATTATATGGTTGTTGTGTCTCCTTTACTTAATGAGGTGGGTCCTGTTATTGCGAATGTTGTAGAGTTAGGTGTTGGGGTTCCACACCGTGATGATGTTTTAGTTTCACCTACTGTTGTCCTTCAGCCGAGTGAATGCGTTGTGTTGAATGCTCCTGGTGAGTCTGATGAGGGTTTGTATGACTTGGTTGCTCCTATTGTTGAGGGGTGGAGGCGAATGTTGGTGTGATTTAGATGGATAGGTGCCTTGGTTCACCTGGGGTTGTAGATGTCCCTAGTGTGGTGGTTGTTGTTCCTCCCCTCCTGGGATCTGCGATGGTTGCTGGCAATGTTTCTGTTGATCATTTGGATGCTTTGGTCAGGATTCCCTCCGTTGGGGGGAGTGATTGTGATGTTTTGGTTGATGTTACTGTGGGGCTTATTTCGCCAAATGTTTTTAAGTCATCGATTTTGTCGTGTGAAGGGGAGTCCTGTTTGAGACAAATTGATTGGTTGGATGACTCGATGGATTCTTCGTGCGATCTGGATGATGATTTGGAGGATGAAGTTGAGGCCTTACAAGGCTCGTATGGTTTGGATATCTCTAGGGCTTTGGGTCCCCCTTTCTCTCGTGGTGGAAAACGGCATCATTGCAAATCTAGGAGATAGTTATTCTGCTCGCCCCATGGATGGCCAGGCTCGGTTGCAACCTTGGTGGTCCCCTTTGGTCTTTGATTGTGGTTGTTTCTGCCTTTTATGGACTTCGATCCAGGTTGCTTGGATACTCTTCGTGGATGTTTGCTCGGGAGCTGTGGCTTTTGGTGCGTTAGAGTTTGCTAATACTTCCTTGTTGTTATTTTTTGTTTTGACTTGCTTTTTATCTTCTATATTTAGTTGGATCCAAAGCTCATAGGTTTTTATTCAAATGATGTTTTTTTAGTGAGCTTATGATCTTTTAAGGTCTTGTAATTTTTATCCTTATTAACGCGTTGGCCTTGTCGTTGTTCAAAAAAAAAAATCTCTTTAAAAAAAAACAATCAAAATTAATAGAATCAGAATCAACATATTTCTACAATTTGGTTAGTATCTATAAGCAACCAAACGAGTAAAATTCAAATTGTCGTTTCTACAACTTATTTACTATCTACAAGCAACAAAATGAGTAAAATTAAAATCATCATTTTCTACAACTTATATAGAATCTGCAAGCAACTAAGTGAGGAAAATTAAAATCACCGTCTTCTACATCTTGTTTAGTATCTACAAGCAACAAAATGTGCTACTATAGAGAATTTTTTCAAATCAAGAAGAACATTGGAGGTTAGTAATCAGGGACAATGAAGAGCAAAGGAATGCAAACAAGACAATCTAAGCTTAAAAATAAAAGCTCAATGCAGATAATCAGCCATTGAAAAAAAAAAAAGAACTTTCCAATTGTTTTATAATTTTTTTTTCTTTCAACTGGCCTAGTATTCTCAATAACAATAAATCTATCATTGTTCAGTAATCGGACCATTTTGCTAGGGTCTCTCTTATGTTTGGTAACCCTCGATGGCCTCTCACTGTTCCTCTTGATTTTTCTCTATTGCTCACCCCTCCTTTCTTTTTGGATTGAAGGTTTGTGGTAGGAAGTGCTTGTAAAAAATTAGGAAAAGCCTTTGCTTAAATTTGACTCCAGCAATTTCAGAAAATCAACAACAAGAAAATCAAGAATAAAACATACAAGAATACTTTTTATTGAAATTCTTATGAAAGAAAATATAAGATACAAGTGGATCTTCAATTAGAGAGAAAGATTCGATTCTCCCAAATCTCTAGCCACCGGGGCTAGAGTCCAAACACCCCAAGGCAATCTAGTTTCAGCAAACAACACATAACCCTAACCCCCCTAGGAAAACCCCCCTACTTAAAAGCATACAATAAATGACAAATACCCAAATAGCCCTCCCCCAATTCCCTTCCAAATTTATCATATTTCCTTAATTATTTTCCTCCCTACCCCCAAATCTGTACTCTTTAATCAGGAAATATTTCTTAATTAATCCCCTCCAAATCAGCGAACAAGAGCCGTTCCTAGAAAGGGCGGCATGACCAGTCCAGCAGGGACCCTATTTAATAATACCTACAGTCTTCTTCTTCTTCGGAGTCTCCCTAAGAGTACCAGGTGCAGGCTCCTTGGATGCCAAAAAGGTTGTTGTCATCTTGTACGAACATCCTAAGTTGCTACCTCCATCCCCCCTCTCTCCAAGTGCCTCTGATCCTCCACTAACTGGGCTAGCTCTATCGCCTCTCCCAAATCATAAGGTTTCATCACTCTAAATGCTGTCTGAATCTCTAGTTTGAGCTCTTTCATAAAGTTCCCCTCTAATACAGTCTACAGAAGCCAGTCCAATCGGCTAGCTAGGTGCTCAAACCACCCATAGTACTCCACCATTGTTCCCTTCTGCGTTAGAGAGAAATACAAACCACCCATAGCACTCCACCATTGTTCCCTCCTGCGTTAGAGAGAAATACTGCTCATAAAAATCCCCTCCACTGCTGGTTTTGAAACTTCCAACAAGCAGTCCTTAAACTCCCTCCAGGTCCATATGGGTCGCCAACGTTTTCCCCTCCAAGCACATTCCGATGGCCGTCAGTCTCTCCTCCATCAATCTATAGACGGTAAAGTACCTTTCCATAATGTATATCCATCAATGTGCATCCTCTCCCTCAAAAATATGCATCTTCAGCTTCCTGACCGATCTCCTTCGTTCCCTCTGTTTCCTCCAAAATTTCTTATTCCCCAAGGAGGTGATTAAGATTGCAAATAAACAAATAGTTCAACGAGCTGCTCATAGCTCGGCTCAATAAGAGCTCGTTGATGTTCATTTAATAAGGTAAAAGAACGACCTTGAAAACTCCTTATAAATACTCGATAGCTAAATGAACGAGCTTGAATAGCTTGTCGTTTGGTTTGTTTATATTCACGAACAATATTGTTTAAACTCATGAACATGCTCGTTAAGAATCTCGATTAGATTTTAAAAATAATAATTATTAAAATTATTAATTTAATAAACTATATTTACTATTTAGTTAATTAAATTTATTAAATAAAAAAATAAAAAATGCTTATTCTCCCGCTCATGGCTCTTACGCTCACGTTCAAAAACTCCCGCTCATGGCATATTTCAGAATCCCACTCTTATTCATGCGTCACTAGGTTAGTCTCACACTGCAAAAAATGATGTTAGTTTCACTCTATAAAAAGAAAAAAAACAGTGTGCCTCATTGAGCTTAGACGGAAAAGCGGACTGGCGAAGGAGCAGGGGCGACTTCTTTCATCTAGCAGTTGGGCTCAGGAATCGAGTTGTAGGCATTTGTAAATTTTGAGCGGGCAGGCTCGGCTCATTAAACGAGCATCTCAATAAGAGGCTCGACAGGCCTAAAATTAATCGAGCTCGAATCTGAATACGAGCTAAGCTTGAACAAGGGATTTTTAAACGAGCTCGAGCTCGAATATGTACCAAAGAAGCTCGAATTATATCGAGCTGAGCTTGAACACATTCTTGGCGAATGAGCTCGAACAGGCTGATGCTCGACTCGACTTGCTTCATTTGCAGCCTTAGAGGTGGTTCTCCCCAGGTGTCCCAATCATCTCTTTTATGCTCGTACCCAAACCTTTCGTCAAATTCCCACATTCTCCTTTCAAAATCAGCCCCTCTCCTTTCAGTACCGCTTCGATCATAATTAGTCCCACCCCTTTCAAATTACGACCCTCTCCTCTCAAATTCAGCACCCCTTCTTTCATTCTTAACCTCCTCATACATCTCCCCATACCTTCTACTCAGCTCATCCTTAGCAATAAGCTCTAGGGAAGACATTCTCTCTTTTACCTCGAGAATCTTCACTTCCTCGGTTGTCAATGACTTCCCTTGCTTCCGACGACACCGTTTTGAGTTGGCCCTCAAAGCAACTTTTCCAACATCTCCTCCAAGATGAAAAACTTTCCATCAATATTCTCATTGACAGCTAAAATTTGACTTTTAAAATCTAAAAGTTGATTTTGGATATAAAAAATTTCAGATTTCAATTGTCCGATCTCACCTTCCAATACTTCTACCTTTCTTCCTATCATAGGTACCAAGATTTAGGCTCCACTAGCAAAAAAACAACTTTGTTATGAATATTGCCTCCAAACAACAAAAAAA